TCGACTATTGTCATTAATGTTATGGTCATTGCTTTCATTATCTGTGTCCTCATCGCTCTTATTACTAATATCATCTTTGTTCTCAGAACCTACTAGTACTTCCAACTTATCATCATATTGACTATGATAAATATTTTGAGCTTCTTGATAAGTCGGAAAAATCATTTTAGGTAAATGTTTATTTGGCTCTTGTTTACGAAGTTTATTAATATAAAGGGCTGCGGCATGAAGGTGCTTACATATAATACCCGTTTGAAGAAAGTCAAAACATTGGCAGCAAATATCTGTTGGCTGTCCATATACGCATGTTGTATAAACAAACCCCGGGGTAGTTTCAGATTCAACTTCGACGTAGATCTTTCCACTTATTTCTTCAACCTTATATTTAATTACTTTCTCCATTTCAAGTAGTCTTCTCGCCGATTCATCACGCTTTGTGCTTGGAGATAAATGTGCAACTTGCAAAAATTCTTGCATTAGAATTTTACGGTCTGATGGGTTCATTATGTTAAGCTCTTTCCTTCATTCCTCTTTTTCACGTTCAAGGTTCTTAGCAAGATTTCGTAATGTCAAAATATTTGGTATAACTTCATACACAAGTGCAATGTAAAGTACATCGGCTCTAAGAAGGTGATGATTTCTTTGAAAACGGTTTAATTGATTGTTTTTTAAGTATTCATTCATTCTTTCGAGATGATTATTTGTAGTAGAGAGTTTTTCTAGAGGAATTCCAAGAACTTCTGTAGCCTTCATCCGTCCATTAAGACACTAACTATACAAAAGATCGCCAGCCCACTGTTTTATTAGGTCCGTAAAAAATTTTAAGCCGTCTTCTAAAATTTTTTGATTTTCTAAAACAGTTTCCACTTTATAGATACTTTCTAATAATTCTTGTTTTTTAATAATATGTTCACGCACCATCTGCTCACTGCAATTCATCGACTGAGCCTCCTTTAAAACACTTTTTAAAAACATTTTTACGGTTTGTCGCAACAGAATTATCTTATTATCACCACCACGGCCTAATCATTTATTAATTTCATTCTTACAACATTGGCTAATGTGAAAAAAACAAAGAAGCAAAATAATTCCTGGCCATATTTTTGCTAATGGTTTTCGCTCTTTGACATCAGCATCGGTCATCGCAACAAGGGGCTTAAATATAATTGAGGTTGATAAATGTTGATTTTTATTATAATTATCACTAATTTTATCCCGAAAGATTGTAAAAAGCCATTCTAAGATCTTGCTATCATATCCAGATGATGTTAGACGATTATATTTGGGTGAAGTAAAAAGAATGAACGCAATAGGAACACCTTTGTTATCCTCATCAATGATCATAATAATAAATAAAAGTAGTTTGTGTTTGCTGACTCTGAAAGTTCTATCAATGAGAATAAGGTTTTGGTGACCATACTGCCATGCGTACTCTTGTTGTTCACGGGTACAAATAATAAGCTCTAGACGATCATTGTCTTTGGTATGAGGTTGATAATGTAAACACCTGGTTTAATGCATATATAAATGAAGAGATTTATTAGTAAGTATAAGAATTATGTACAGCAAAAAAAAAAAAAAAGCAAAAACAAAAAAAAAAGAAAAGGAAAAAAATCAAACTAAGAAAAATAAATAAAAATGTATATATGGTAATTATAAAAATAGCTACCAAGAGAAGATCAAGCCTCAGCTTTCGAATTTATTACTTATGCATCCTTGAGCTCAGATGGGTCTGCATTCGGTCCAAGCAAATGATCCAAGTTTTTTGCCACATCATGCCTAATATTTATATTCCAGCTTGTCTGTAGCATTTGTTTCTTAATATTCGTAATATCCATTGCAGTAAGCAATACTCTGGAGTTTCCAATCAAGGTATGATTTCCAAACACATTTTTCACGATTCTCGCGTTTTGAGCAAGAATATCTGAAGTTTTTACATTAAGACTTAATAAATTTTCAACACTTCTTCTTACATATAGTAAAAGTTGATATGGTGGGTCATGTTGTGGTTGAGAAATCACACATTGTTCAGAATGTTCCAAGTATCCTGCAATACTACAAATTTCATTATTACGAAGAGAAATTGTAACAAATACAAGACACCCTATGTAGGGATAATGCGCTGTTGGAACTCGAGAACCAGGTACAACTGTCTTTTTATGATAGCTTCCACATGTACATTGTTTGACAATTAATGTTTTACTTGAATGCCGGATAGACCATTTACAATGTACATCATCATGATCGATATTAAGATTATTCTTTTGAAGAAATTGGTCTCGACTTACAACTTGATCTTTGTTGGATAAATCCCATTCTATTTCAACTACACCGGGTGCACCACTATCTAGCAAATCTTTAAGTTTAGCTTGATTTTCTTCTGTCAAAAGAAGGTGCGAATTTAACTTTACTTTTATTCGTGGTTTGTAATTTCCTCTTTTTTTAATTTCATTAGAGACTTTAAATTTTGATGAAGACATTTAATTTGAAGTTGAACGATAAGATATAAGATAATAATCATAAGTATATTTAAATTTTTTTTTGTGAATGTATTTATTATTTATAGAATTGGTAAACGATATTGGTGCAAACGTATTTGCGTTATTTATTGTAAAGACAGTTTAACAATAAACTGTAACTAAGTGATATAAATATGTTAGCGCTTATAGGAAATGATCTTTTATTTAATATATTTAATTTATAATTCATTTATTTTAAATTGAATAAGCTGAACTTTCGCAATTGCAGGTAAATTTATCAATATTATGTAATTTTAATATATTTATTAAATTAATATATATTTTTATTGATTTTAATTTTTCATAACAGGTATGGATTAGATAGTTTAAGTCCCGAATTAGATGATCGTGCACTGATATCGAGTCATAGGCAGAAGTTTGTCAAATTGGCTAATAAATTCAATTTAATTTTGCATTATTTATACAGTTCAGAGTACTTTTTAAAACAAAACGAAAAATAATCATAACGAAATAGAAAAGGCTGTATAGAAGGTTTTATTAGAGCTGTAGAACGTTATAGCAAAAATAAAATTTAATTCTCGTTTGTTTAAAAAAGTTAGTAATAACTTCTCAATACCCGGTAAAATCAACTTATTACTAAGCTAATTTCTTTAAACAGAAGAATTAGATCTTATTTTTGACTATAGAGTCCTACAGCTCTAATGAAACCTTCTATATAGTTTTTTTACTTTATTCTGGTTGGTTTTCATTTTTTGTAAAAAGTATTCTAAACTGTATAAATAATGTAAAATTAAATT